TCCACTTGAACCATTTTTCTGAAAAAATGGTGAAAAATACCATTTTTGGAAAAATTTTGTAATCAAATTGCAGTTTCCTGCACTATATTTCCTGCAGAACAGTCCACATGCAATTTCAACCCCCCCCCCCCACTCAAAGTTTCTAAAACAATTAGCGTCAGATACCTTGCTTTTTTCCTTTAGCTGCCGAAAACATAATGATGGAGGGACCAAACGTTGAAAAATCATTTTTAGTTATTCACAGCCAATCAGTATTGAATATCAAACAATCTCACATAAACAGAAAAATCTTAAAGAAAATGAACAAAACCAGGCCACTAAAGTTTATATTGATTTATTTTAAAAAATAAGCAGATATCTGAACTTCCATTAATTGCGAATTGAAGTTGGATATTGGAAAGAACTTTTTTTCAATTTTAAGAGTTTAAAAAAGTGAAACAAAAAAAATGTATTGTATATCTGCCCGAATTATGCGATAAATGCCAGTAAAATTTTGCTGAGCCGATATAGGTTCTTTTCTGCTAATAATACTTTTAGTACACATCAATTAGCCAATTAGCAGAACAGTCCACATGCAATTTCAACCCCCCCCCCCCCCACTCAAAGTTTCTAAAACAATTAGCGTCAGATACCTTGCTTTTTTCCTTTAGCTGCCGAAAACCAGATGGCGTCTAGCATAATGATGGAGGGACCAAACGTTGAAAAATCATTTTTAGTTATTCACAGCCAATCAGTATTGAATATCAAACAACCTCACATAAACAGAAAAATCTTAAAGAAAATGAACAAAACCAGGCCACTAAAGTTTATATTGATTTATTTTAAAAAATAAGCAGATATCTGAACTTCCATTAATTGCGAATTGAAGTTGGATATTGGAAAGAACTTTTTTTCAATTTTAAGAGTTTAAAAAAGTGAAACAAAAAAAATGTATTGTATATCTGCCCGAATTATGCGATAAATGCCAGTAAAATTTTGCTGAGCCGATATAGGTTCTTTTCTGCTAATAATACTTTTAGTACACATCAATTAGCCACTACGAGCGTCTAATGATTTTGATTTGTTAGAAATTTTTCATCTTCAGGTTCTTCTATCATGAAAATGCTCCCTTCTAGGCATCTCTAAAAAACACAACTGATCTTCACCAGAACTTTAAATTATTTCACCAAAACTAAATACTTGATTCAGTAAATTGGCAGGAAAGCATGCGCAATTGCATTACATGTCATTGTACTGCATAAATACCACGTTTTGCAGGTTGTCGTTTTTTCTTCAAGCTAAGTATGCGTTTCATTTGTTCCACCTTATGTTGCAGTTTTACAAAGTTTCTGCTTCGTTTTTATTCATATTTATGATTACGAGGCCAAACTGTGCACTGGAAAGGCGCACAATTTTGTGTCTGTATGTTCCTAGATTCCACAGAAAAGTCTTTATGCATCTTAAAATTTTGTGGTAACGATCAAAGGAAGTACAGAACAAAAGAAGAACGAAGGAAGCGTCCTTGTAGCGGAATCCGCTTACTATGCACAAAATGCACAGTTTGGCCTCGTAATGATGTAGCATATGTGCAATTTTTTTGTAACAGCTGTGCTGCATTTAAGCTAGCTTTTTGCGAATTTGTAAGTGGCAACATAGGGCAATTTAAGATTTAATTCAGTTTATTCTGCGTTCTTCAAGTTTTTTGCGCAATTTCATGTGTCAATTTTGTGTGTCTTTTGTGATTTGCATTCTGGCATAATTACACAACATGTTTGCGCTTTTTCTTTTCAATTGACTTTATTTTGTTATTCTTTTGAAATTAGCCAGCTGATGACTTGAATACAAAAAATAACCAGACTGCTTGTATCAGGTCGAGGCCTTGAATTTTCCGACTGCATTTTAATTTCTAGAAGAAAAACGTATGAAAAGCTTTTCTCAACCGAAACTGTTTCAAAAGATATCTTGACTTGGTTTAAAAATCAAACAATACAAATTATTGGGTGAAAGTTTTGGTAAAATGAAAGCAACTTTAGCATGAAAAAAAATTTGACAAAAAAAGATGTTCATCGTACAATTTCGTATCTGTTCTTCATACAATTTTATAAAAAAAATTACGAATTTGAGGTAAGAAAAAATTCAATCACCTCAGTGATTGCAAACTTGCTTCTGTGCGCGAATAAAAAAATTTCAAAAAAAATTGAACACATGACATTTTGTGTCCATAACGTAGTCCAGGTTGAGTTTTTCACCCTAAAAAATCAATAAATAAAAATCAAGTATTTTTTCAAAAACACAATCGTTAATTTTATTTTTCATATGCTAAAATAGATCTAAATTTGAAGGAAACAAGCTTTTTTAAATTATCTGAACTATCTGGGTGGTAACTGTCACTTACACACTGAGTTTTTTGTCATAGAAATCCTTGGTTGTTGTGTATTTGAATAATACACAAAACTTCGAAACAACATTTTTTTGCATATTCATTTATGGAAAATAATCTTATAATTTTAAACAGTATAAAAAGCATGCAATACAATTTTTTCAGTCCATGAAAATGTGTCAAACTGTATGTCAAATTTTTTCATAAAATGAAATTGTATGACAGGCGTTTTTTTGTCAAGCCAGGTAAGTGAAATTATATATTGTGATGAAAATTTTAATGAAAAATTCACTTTATATTTTGAGGTTTTTTGAAAATCTTTTCCCACAGGCTCTGTAAAGTTCAAAGTAATATATTTTGCATAGAACAAATTGTTAAATCGTCCAAAAAGCATGCCGCCAATCCAAATTTGAACCTTTTCTAGGTCGGATTAGTTTTCTGCTTACGCGCTAACAGCATGAAATATATAGCGCGTTATTTGTCCCAAATTGGCAATTCTTAAACCTCAATAACTTTACAAAAAAAGATCACAGGTGAAATATCTTTTCAAATTTAAGCTCAGGACAACAATATCTTTCGATTGATATTTAAAAAATTCCGTCAAAATTGGCTTGTTAAAAAGTCGAAATTCGTCTGAAGAAAAATAATCCACCCGAGCACAAAAATTCCGTTACTTTCGTGACGAAAGTCGGAACACAAACATATAGAACAATACAGGAAAACGCCTACACATAAATACAATTTCAAAAAATAAGAAGAACCAAAACACATGATTTGAAGAACCAAAACACATGATTTGAAGAACCAAAACACATGATTTGAGTCCTGCAAGAATAATTGAAACCGATTAGCCTGCTTCAACTCAATTTGAAACAGTTATTCGAAAGCGTCGAAATTTGGGTTCAGTTACCTCGCTCACGCGTTGATCATTATACATAAGTATAAAATCGCGCATATTATAGTACAGCAAATTGATAATCTGTCGAACTTAAAACTTTCACAAATTCACAAAAAAAGATCGCAGGTTAAACAAACTTGCGATACCTCACACACATAGCATTGCAAGCTAGCAGACAGAAAATGAAACAAAAACAATTAGAAAATTTCGAAAAACCACAAAATTTGCAGAAATTTGTCTGAAATGATGTTCAATTTAAAAACACAATAACTGGCGTTTAATAAGTATATCACTTTGTTTATTCCAGAGCGTGTGAGTTATGATTTTAAAATAAAACCTCAAAAAAATTGTCTGAAATTTTTTTTTGAAATTTTTATCACTTGTAATAATTTCAACTAGCCGGGTTGATAAAAACGCTTGTCATACAATTTCATACATTTTTTTGTCGAAGTTTTCCAAAAAGTGCCTACAACCGCCTTTTTGGCCTTTTAAAAAAAAAATTACCTGCGGCGCAGAAAATTTGGAAAAATTTGGGTCCTTATAGTGGTTTGGGAGAGCTCAGAAAATCAATTTGTTCGACCTAGAAAAAATGTTGACAAAATTTTTGAATTTTGTTTTTGAAAATCCCCCCTCGAGAAATTCCTAGATCTGCGCTTGCCAAAATTCAAAGTTTTGCATTAAAATCTAATGATCCAAAAGATCTATTGACAAGTTAGTTTTGCAATTCACCAAATTTGACTTTAGTTTTTTATTTTTCATCCAAGGCTGTGCCATTTTTTCCAGTAATTCTCTCCATTACAAGAAAAAAAATGAGAGGAGATAGTTTTTTTTTAATTTTTCCTTTAGATTCCTATGTGCATCAGTTTTTCGTTTAGACTAGAATAGATGAATAGCCTTTCCGACAACCAAATTGCGTTTTGATCCGAATATTTGAACCGAATATAGAAAACTGTTTTTATCTCGGTGAAGAAAATTTCCCGAAAGTTTTTCTAAATTCAGGATAACCTACAATTATGCGCCTGTAGTCTCCTGCTTCATCGAGGCTTCCCAGTTTCTGAAGCGCAAGATTTTTTGAGATTTTAGGCGTATCAGGAAAACATGTTATAGCTATTGAGTCGTTAGACCGAATCAGCCAACTACTGACACAAAAAGGAGCTTGCGAGCTAAATAAGTTTTTATCTCGATGTGGTTAGTTAGAATTTCCAGACGCGAGATGATACAAAGATTATGATTCTGATAGTCGCGACTTGAGTCAGGTGGCTCACTTGGAAAATGATGACTCACCTCAGCAGTGACCATGCGCTGTTTGTCCACGTCGCTCTTGTTGGCCACCAGCATCACCACTGCACCTGGTGAGTTCTCACGCATCACTCGCATGTACGACTCAGCTGCTGTGAACGTGTCCTGAAACCAGTGTTTCTATTGAAACAATTGTTCAATTGACTTCTTGAAACAACTTTTTCTAGTTTTTTTGTGAATTTAGCGATCAACTTCTAGTCTAGTGCTCAACCAAAAAATCGTAGTTTGACGCGAATTATGGTCGAGCACAAAGTTGTAACATGTATCGAGTACAGTACATCACAAACCCATTCAGTTAATCACTTTTTGGCTCAATAGCACTGTCAAAACATACCTGATTATTTTGGAAAAATAGATTTACGTCATCATTTTTTTGCGACTTTGGAAAAGGAAAGCGTGTTGCGGATATGTACTGATACCTTAAAAACACCATTTGATGGCTTACTAGTTTGGCCTCGTTTGACTCACATAGCGGGTGATGTCGTAGACTACAAATGCACCCTGTGATCCATTGTAGTACATGGGCAGCAGACTGTTGAACCTCTCCTGTCCAGCTGTGTCCCACACCTTCAGTGTCACACTCTCCCCATTCTCCTTGCCGGTCTGCAATTGAATCTTCTGCAGGTGGAAAGTGGCTGGAAAGAAGAGGGGAATTATTATTGAAAATAACTTGAGCTAGCTGCAGAGCAATAATCAGCACAAAGCTATCCAGCCAAAATTACAACTATCCAGTCACTGAGGCGAACCGTGACGAAAAATTGCGATTTTGCAATTAAATTAATCAGGGAAAACTCACCGAATTTCATAAATAAACACACAATGCAAATATCACAACCTCTAATTACCTCGTACCAAATAGTACTGGCACTTAGTTATTTGTCTAGTTTTGATTGTTAAGCGGATCCCAGGACCGTGGCCCAAAACCTGAAAAATTGCAAACATTGAAAAAAAAGTACCGACTCTGCGTGATTCAAGGAAAACATGTGCAAATTAGAGCACCCGCATTAGAGTTCCATGAATAAAAATTGATTATAATTGAGTTTCCTTGTCAGTGTCCACAAAAGTGAAAACAAATCGATTATAATCAATTAAAAATGGATTAGAATAATACTTTTTTTTCGAGGCAACAAAATCCTTTTTTCATCCATTATAATCAATTCTTTTTTTCACTTTTGTGGACACTGACAATGAAACTAAATTATAGTGGATTTTTTTCAACGTAACCAACTAAAGTTGTTACGTTGGTTGCTTGTTGTTCCATTGAATTTTTTTCTGCCTAAATTTGATATTTTTGTTACTTTTTTATGTTAGTCAAAAACTGAATTTTGTTCCTTTCAACAATTTTGTTAAATTATTAGAAACTTTGGTGGGGGGGGGGGGGTAAAGTTGGAGGTGGACTAATCCCCTTCCATTACCCCATTTACAACAGCCCCTCCCCCATTGTAAAGGAAATGGTTCACATTTTGGGAGTGGGGGTTCAAGTTGGGGGGAGTGGGAGTGGGGGCTCAAGTGGGGGGGGGGGGGGTTTGGCAAACGTTAAGCTGGTGGCTTGTAAGGGAGCAAAGGGGGGTTGGATCGGATTAGGGCGGTGGTGGTGGTTCAGATGGGGGTTGTGTTCTGAGGGGGGTTGTTGAGGTGGGAGGGGGGTTCAGGTGGGCGGTGTTCAGGTGGAGGGTGTTCAGGTGTTGTTCAGGTGGGAGGGGGGTTCAGAAGTGGGGGGGGGGGGGGGTGTGAGCAAAGGGGCAAACTTTACGGGGATCGACGGGGAGTAAAGCTGCAAACGTTTGGGGGGGGAGAGATCTTAATGGAATCTTTTTGCATTTTGAGTTTAGTTTTAAAAATGGATTAGGCCGTACACTCGCTTTACAAAACTTCTGCATAACTCACTGGATACTTGATAAATGCACCGAAATTCTTGCAAAGTTTTGCCCGACGCGGTAAACAAAAAAAAGGAAAAAAATCCATTATAGTGTGATTTCCTACTGATTATAAAATCCATTATAATGGATTCCAAATGAATTATCATTCTTTTTGTTTTGGCGCAAAAAAAAATTTAAATCCATTTTTAGTCCAATTGTGTTGTCTGAACGTAACATGGGAATCAATTATATTTACAACACTATAGACCAAGAAAATCCAATATAATTGATTTGTTTCCACTTTTCTTAAATACGGTCGATCAACATCTTCAGATCCAATCTCAACTAGTTTTTAAACTATCGCGACTAACTTTCATAATTCATTGCGACAATTTTTAAACTATCACGAGTAACTTTCAAACTAAATTGCGACCAATTTATCAGAATAATGTGCATACATCTCGAGTTAGTTTCAGACCATCGCAAATAATTTTCTTAACAGATAGCGTTTAACAGGTATTCACACATTTCGACGCTCATAAATTACTGGCACAATTCGTCCCACACACATTTCGCCCCCTCACATTTAGCCCCCACTTATTTCGCCCTCAATTTGTACATTACAGAAGTGGCGGTTACTTAACTGTGTAATAAATTAGGGACGAAACGTGCAGGTACGAAATGCGTCAAATTATAAGTGTCGAAATGTGTCAGGGGCGCAATGTGCCACTAGATTTAAGAGGGGCGAAATGTGTGGGGGGCGAAACGTGGGACATTCCATTTAACTTCCTGGTTATCGCATCTAACTTAAATTAAAAAAAAAAATTGAGAAAAGTGATTTTTATCAATTATTAATCGATTATAATCTCCCTCTTTTGAAATCAAATTATGATCAGTTATAATTAAAACTGATTATTTATCCGTACATATAATTTTCGATATAATTAAAATCAATTATAATTGATAAAAATTAATATAATCAATTATAACTCCTTTTGTTTGCCCATTTTGTCTTCGAAATTGCATCTAAACTGCTTACCTTTTATACTTTTCGTTGACGTTGGTTCCTGGGAAAATAAGAAAACTGCTTCTAAAGTTTTCAAGTCAATTCATTTTTGAAACGTTTCTTTTTCATATCTTCCCCATTAGAGTTGCTTCATGATTCACATTTTAAGCTTTTTTTACCATCAAAACATCAGCTATTTGAAATTGATTTAGTTTCATGATTGATTCGAAAAATTTATTTTTCACCTACAGGGGGAACCTTTCAACTGAAAGGAAAGGATGTCTTTGAAACTTTTGTTTCGTGGTGGAAATTTGTGTTCAGATGAACCAAAGTGTGACAAGAACTCTCTCTTTGTTATTGGCAGAAAATTAGTAAACCATAAAATATAATTCAAATATTGTTTTGACGAGACAAAATTTTGGCAAAATAAGAGATTATACTTGATTATAACTGATTTTAAGGATGTTTTGTATGAATTACGATAATTATAATCGATTATAAGAAACTATATTTTTTTGGAAAATATCACGATTATAATCAAATATAAATCGTTCAAGCACCTAGTTTTGGCAACTATAATCAATTATAATTGTCAAAAAATCATCATAATAATCCGTTATAATCGGCTACTTACGCCTAAACTTGGATGCGGGTTGTCTTGATGAAATTGCGCACTATCGTTCAGACTATAGTGACCAATTGAGCTATCGTGCGTAGTCAGTCATCAGATAATTTTGTGACTTATTTTCAGACGATCGAGTCTAATTTCAGGACTAGGTCGCGACTAAGTTTCAGACTTACTCTATCGGTATATACTTTTAGACAAAAGCAACTTGTTTTCAGAATAAGTGGTGAGTAATTTTCAGACTATTGCGACCAAAGCTTGGTACTTCAGACTTTAAGCGAATTTTTTGTCGCCTTGTTAACATCGGAGCGATTTTGAAATTATTTGCAGACTTCAAAATGGTTTCAAAAGTTTATGAATAAGCAACTTAAATAAGCATTACCTAAATCGGGTCATTTCGGTTCGCTAAACATATCTGCGAGAAAATATTTGGGGGCTGGTAAAGAGTTTTTTGTAAATAAAAATGTTTTGAAGGCTTAAAGACTTTCAGCTAGGATTGTGCGATATTCTCAATTTCAGGTTCACTTATTACCCATCAAATTTGTCTAAAAACAAAATATTCAACCCATTTTTTTGAAATTGATACGAAGTACTTTTTCAGCAAAAAGATATGTTCGGGACAAATAAAGTCAGCTGGCGAAAGAAAAAAAAGAGTACAAAAGTATTTAAAACTCTATAATGCAGGCCGATGGGCCCGAGAGTTTACTGAATAATTATCACCGGACAGATTGAGACTGAAACATCTTTACCTCCGACTGTGCTGGCGAGGTTGTCGCTGAACTCTCCTTTGGTGAAGAACTGGCAGATGGAACTCTTGCCCACTCCACTGGCGCCCAGAAGCACAATTTTGTAGCTGAAAATGGCCTGGTAGCAAGAACTGGACCTGCTGTGGTCATAATGTCTCGACATTTCAGCACTATTGCTCAATGAAAAAATAAAAATGTTCAGTTATGAGCAGCCTAAATCAAAAATAAGTATGACTAAAAGCAGATATCAACAAGCCTGCAAGAATCAGGCAAAACTATAGTCAGCTGTCGAAACAATGATATCGAAGACAGACAAATGTCTCAAACTAAAGTTGAAGTCCGTATTTTGACCGGAACTTATTTCGAGATCACAAAACCATTTAAAACTTGAATTCTAAAATTAGATTTAAGTTGGTTCACTAAATGGTATTTAATGAAATCCGAACTTGCCTGTTTAAGCCAAGTCTTAAAAATAAATGTTCAAAAAAACTTAGGAAACAAAAGTGAACGGTTTCTGTTTTGTTCTTTGATGTGTTCAGTGACTAAACAGTCCGTAACTCCGAAAAAATTGTTTTATTGCGCCGCCTCACAAAGTACTAGCCTTGGTCATTCCTTATTGAATCCAGAAACAGTGGTTTGCGACAAAAAACTTACTGGCAAAAAGTTTGGCTGGTATAAAAATTCTGTGGGTGAAATTCAAAAATTCTAAAATTCAAAATGAAAAACGTACCTCAAAAACGTACCTCAATAAGCATAGATTAAGATTAGATTACAAACTTTTAATTTTCTCTACAAAAAAATTGCGCACAAAAATTAAATTTACGCCTTGAAAAAAAGTATTTTCCCCAAAACTTCCCAAAACAGTCTGTGGTTGTAAGTCTGAAAGTTTTAGTCTTCACTTCTACTGAATAATTAGATTTGCCACTTTTAACGCATCTACAATTTAAGCAACCTTTAAGGTATTCACTTTGAACGGCGGCTATTAAAAACTCTCAGCTCCTTAGTTGAAAATACTGAACCTCATCCAAGTGCCAAAAATTCGACGTTTTTTCTGTTACTATTACAGTGAGTTTCTCACAACTTAAAACTGTTTTTTGCTAAGAGTGGATCTGGAACGCATCCTGAAGAAAAACAGACAAAAATTGAAAATGTTTAATCAAAAGAAGCTGAAAAACATCCATATAGTGATTGAAACAGATATTTTGTTCAAATAATTTGTTGACAGTTACAAATTGTTTCGAAAAAACTTATAATCGGAAATTTGTTCACTAGTGTTTTTTATCAAATTGCAGAAAAAATAATTAATTTATTTTTCATTGCAGAGAAAAAAACACTGAAGAGTGATGTTTAGCCAACACAATTAGCCCAACTTGACAAATCTCAGTTAGCATAAGTTAAAACTTCTCAGCAGATCTTTTAAGTAAAACATTCTCTGAAAGTATTTGATTATGACAGTTATTACTTCAAAATCGGAAAAAAAACAAAATTCAGAATTTATTTGTTTGGTGTTGAATAGATAAACCAAAAATCCTCATGAATAAAACTAAACAATTTATAAGTTATTCGATATCCTAACAAAACAAATATTGTGATTCCCTGTATATTTGTGTCTGACAACAGCAAAAAGACTGGCCTGACCAGATTTTTAGGATATATCCTTTTGGAATCCGAGCAAAGGCTTTAATATAATTTTCTAGAGTATTTTTGGGGTACTAGATTTGACCTGGAAAAAAGGCGTCTTATGCCATGAAGTCTCACAGTTTGATTGAGAGTGCTCGGAACAAAAATTGAAACATCGGTTCGTCTATGTACAACATACATACTGTAGTATTGCAAATACTACACTAACTTATGGTTCCACTTAGTTTTCTAAAATTTTAGATATCCTTCCGATTTAAATAATTCTTTAAAAATTGGACTCACTTTTTTCTGTTACTTTTGGCATGGATATTCAAAAGAAGTAAGTCGCCAGTTAGGTTGACTGGTTTAGTTTCTTGCCTTGAAAAGCAGACAGAGCGGCGACAAAGCCCCCAGTCCTGTTGCGATCTTAACAAAAGACTATGAACTTTTAAGACTCAAAACTGATAAATTGCCCTGATCCTCAAATTATTGACTTTTTATGCTACAAAATTAATAGTTGTAAATGTCAATTTCATCAAGAGTATGAAGAAAAAAGGGAAAATGTAGCTCGAAGTCTAGACTGCAGGTAGAGATTTGTCTCAGCAGACAAAAAGCTGAGAAATAAATAAACCTGAATCTTCAGAATTTTTTTCCCCACTAGCTCAGTCGAGTTGAATTATAATGAAAACTATTTTTGGAAAATATAACGTTCCAGAGCTGACAAATGTAAGATTCTATTGTTTTCCTTCAACTTAAATTACTATAAATTACCCTTAATACTCCAAACCTACTTTGGTGTTTAATACACTTGTTCATCCATTTATAACTAATTTATACTTTTTAAATGTTTCAACAACTCTTTCAATTTATCTATTTATATAGATACTATTTCGACTCTAAGACCAGATTGACTATGATGTAAGATATCATCTAGTTTGAGACTTATGCTTAATTTAAGTAACTAATTAAAATAAAGGGATCGATCAATCGACCCCACTGTTTCTTTCAGTAAATCTGGTGGGACCGATGTTTCATTTTTTATGAACAAATGGTTACTAAATGGATAGAAATTGGTTTAGACTCAGCTAAAAATTGATTTTATTTACCTGAACTGTAATTACTTAACAAATTCTAGTTTAATTCCAGCGTTTTTTAGTTGTATATATCATAGAGGAATTCGATATGACAGAATTTGATGAAATTTAACTATTAACAGTTCTTTGTACTAATAATTTTCAATTCACTTCCTCATTTTGGATTTATTTTTACAAATTTATAGATGAATTTTCAACTAATTAAATCTGAGTTATATCTATCTTTCTTGGGCTTATATTGACCAAGTTTTGAGTAAAATTTAGATGAATTGGAGTTTTATTATCCTAAATGGCTTAATTTGATCAAAGTGGTAAGTTTTAGGTAATTGTGCTTATTCTGACCACAATTGGGTAAAACTTAGATTATTTTAAGGTTTATTTAGCTTAATTGTCTTTCTTTTAGCCAAAATGTAGTGAATCTTAGATTTATACTGAACTAAAGTAGCTTAAAAGGCTCTACTTTGGCCAGAATTGGGTACTTTTTTGGTTCATTTGATCTTTAATTTTCTCAACTGTGCTTATTTTGACCAAAAATGGGTTAAAAAATGTTAAGATGGGAGTTTATTTGGCTTATTCGGATTTATTCTGACTTAATTTGGGCAATTTTTTTTGAAATGGAAGTTTATCTGGCTTAATTGGGCTCAATTGGACATAAACTGGGCAAAATTTTGTTGAAATAGACATTTATCTAGCTGAATTGATCACATCTTAAATGGAAGTTGTTAATTGGGTCATTTTTTGGTTAAATGGAAGTTTATCTAGTTTGATTAGACTTCTTTTGACTGAAATTGGGCCAACTTCTTTTAGCATAGAAATTCATTGGCTTAATCGGATTTATTTTGACCGTAAAAGGGCAAAATTCTGTTAAAATGGATAATAATTTAGCCTAATCGGACTTGTTTTGACAGGATTAGGGCAGAACTTTGTTAAAATGGAAGTTTATCTAATTTAATCGGACTTATTTTGACCAAAATTGGACCATTTTTTTTTTAAAATGGAAGTTTATCTAAATTAATCGGACTTAATTTGACCAAAATTGGACCAAAATCCTTCAAAATGGAAGTTTCTCTAATTTGACCGGACCTATTTTAACTGCACTTAGGGGTTTTTTAGTTGTAATTTTGTTTCTTATTTAGCTCATCTGTGTGTAGTTCATTGTAATTTTCATTGAACTTCTCTCAATTTGGTGGTCGAAATAGATTTAGTCGGAAAAACTCACGTTATAGTTCCTTCCTTAGTGAGTGTAGATAGTTCCTATCCTAAAATGGGCCAAACAGTCTCTCCCTGTTGAGATAACCAAGTTTAGAGTTAAGTTAAGTTAGGTTAGAGGATAACCTCGCAAAAGGGTGAAAAAAAAATGAGGCACAATTGCACAATGAGGAATTGAGACTGAATCTCAACTTAGCACAGGCTTGATTTTGAAGATCATATGTGAAACTAATTTATCAACCATTTAGAGGGCACTTGATAACATAAAGGGCCCCTTACCCCTTTTTAAGAATAAAGTTGAAGATTTAATAAGTTTTTGAGCATTTTTGGAATGTCTGTTTGAAAGATAAAAATGTAAATAGTTAGGTTAACCTATGTCAGTAAAGCTGTTTTAGATGAAACATTCCTTAAATTGTCTAAATTAATAATTATACTAGCCGGTGTGGTCAGTGAACGTTTCCTTTTAATTGGTATATAGTACTTGAAATAGTAATGGGTTCAAATTTCATGAGATAAATTTAGCAGAAAGCTGCCATAGACTGATGAGCGATAGAGAAGATATTGATAACCTTGACTCTATCGAGGACCATCTGGTAATAGGGCGGTCAATTAGATTTCGGTCTGTTGAGTCAGTTAGATTAGATAACCTCTGTCTCTAGCTTTTCGAAGTTGGAAACTAACTAACAGAAACTAACTTTCCTAATATTTTGCACTAAGTAAAATTACTTATTTTGTTTTCAGACTAAATATGCTTTAAGTAGTAGTTCTCTGCTCAATTCGCACCAGATTTACAAGAAGAAACAAAAACAAAAAATGGCAAAAAAAATCGCATATCCAGAACTAGCGCTCGAAAAAAAAGAAGCTTAGACCCATATGAATAAAAAGAGATCTTTTAAAATATATTAGAGAACTAGATGCGAATCAAGACACATATGATAACAGACATTTAGTTTTCTTCGGTTCAATAAAAAGAAGTGTGGCCTCCCAATGAACCAGGAAATGAAATTTTATAGAAAAAGGGCAGAAATGCTTCTACAATTTTATTTTAAAAAACACAAAAAAATCAATACTGTTATGGTTAAGAATCTCAGAGAGTCAAAATATTTATATCAAAAGATCAATCGGCAAAGCAATAAAATATAAATAGTATCGAATACAATTTTATGATTAAACAGGAAAGTATAGAAACTATTCTCTAAACATGTTGCATACTATTTTTAAAGCTAGAGTGATCCACCTAATATGTTTAATAATCTTTGACGTATAATTTTTTAAGGCTCATTGGGTTGTTCTTGTTGTTTGAGTCAAGTTCACTTCAAACTCAGGCGGTTTTATGACTGAAAAAACCAGTATGAGAGTTCATGGAAAAAAATCTTTTTCAATTGCATTCGAAGCGGACAGCATACTTGGGTTGAAACCTTTGATGTATCAAGTAGCCGGTGTAAAATGTAGCAAGCCATTTAGAACAAATAAATTTCTTGCCCTCGGAATCCTCCTATTGCATATAGAGGAACTGATAGGTTGATTATGAATTTCGATTAGGCTCAAAGTTACAAAAAACACACTAGCAGGAAAACATTGGAAAGGAAATCTCATCTCCCAAACTTCTTGAAGTTGCTTTAATCAAAGATTAGATAATTTACAAAAACGGGAGATCAAAATTTTTGACCCCACCAGTCGTAGATTTCTGCCAACATTGTTTGTATTACTTGTAGCTTGTAATAAATTATACCACTTAAGTTGGTGACCAACGAAAAACAAAGTTGGTGGCTATATGAAGCCTTCAAGACTCGAATGATACTCACCCCTCAACAACGTGGTCTATTTCATATTTTTTTGTCCAAAAAGAAAAAACACGCATGCATGTCATCATTTAGCTTTTAAAAGTTTTTTAAATATAATTGCTTATTAAAAACTATAACTTTCAATTTGCTCAAACACTCACCTGTTTGATTATTTTGATATAATCAGAGATCCTTGAGACCTAATATAACCAGTTTTAGAAAACTTTAAAGGTTTTTTTCTAAATTGACTTAATCTCAGACAAAAAATCTCTGTAAAACTTTGGAAACAATTAATTTCCGTCAGTGCAACAAATCATTTTTTTAAATATAAGATATGCATTTTTTTGCCATAATTGCCATTCATTAGCCAATTTTAATAGCTGATGAAGTTAGTTAAGATATAATGAGAAATACTCGAAATACAAAATCTCTTTTGCTTAGGACAATTTTTTGCCTAGCTCTGAATATTAATTTCGTGCTTAATTACAACATCCTAATTGAAGTCCATCATGTACTTGCTAGTGTGAACACAATTTGTTTTTTCTCAGATCAATCGAAAGCGATTCTTTATTAAGAAAAAAGTACCGGTTTCAATGGAAGAGCAATAACAATTGAAAACACAAGCTCTCGATACTTTCAAATTGCCAATGTTTTCGTGAACCAGCATAACACAATCGATATCAACTTGAGTTCCCAATAAAAAAGATAACACTCGTTCAAATGTGCCAGTTTCTTCTGATAGTTTACTTTTTCTCCTTTTTCTAGTTTACTCATTCTCCTTTTATGATTTTCTTTTTCTACTTTTATATAGTTCTCTCAAAATTTGTTTATTCAATCGTATCAACAAACTGCACCGTAAGTCTTGAAGACGTGTCTAACAATGACACTACCCGAGTGCACAAACCCATGGCTGCACAAACCATTGCATTTACTTTTCTTTATCAATTTTCACTGCGGTGGGTTCGTTTATGACACAAGAAAACCCATTACAGAGGAAACACTTAACAAAGAGGACACAATAATTACCATTTTTGAAATTACTTACCATAGAAAAATTACCAATTTTCGATTGTGTACGACACACATTTCCTCTTTTATCTGATTCTGTAAGACACAAAAAATTGACTATTCAAATGATCTCTAACAACGTAGTGCAAACCGGTATTAAACTGGAAGCTCGTACAGAGACTAGACAAGGGCGGAGTCACAAGAAGAACGAACAATAAAGATTCCATTGGATTTAAAATTATCAGAAGCAAAACACCAGCAAGATGGTTTCAATCAAAAATCGATGATGACAAATACCACAAAAATCAAGACAGGGAGAGTTACGGTAAAATCTAACTGACGTTCCGGTGGTCAAATAAACAAAAAACGAGTGAAGAAAAGGTGAGAGAAAGAAACGAAAATTGAAGAAAAAGCATCTTTCGACAGAAAATCTTGGACATCATTTCAATTTAATGTATAATTTCATCATTAAACTTTTAACCCAAATAAACTGATCATTAAAAAAAATTATCGCATAACAATGTAATTTTAGGTATCAAACAACTATCTTATTTAAGAAGGACGGTTTGAATTAGTCTTCAAATATTTTAAATAAACTTCCGATTTAAAGTAACTTCTGGTTTGAATTAGTCTTTAAATATTTTAAATAAGATTCCGATTTAAATAAATCTTTTAAAATTGGACTCGCCTTTTTCTGTTAGTTTCATCCTTTCTTTCTTTCTTTCTTTCTTTCTTTTTCTTTCTTTCTTGAAAAACAGTCGACAAAATAGATTTGCTTAATTCACAAACTGAACCAAACAACTCTTTTTGCGTTGCGGTAATCCGCTTAATCCTGCTCACTAATTGAAACCATGATACAAATCAAAGTAGTAATAATAAAAAGTTCGGAATAAAAGTCAAAAATAATTTTTTTAAAGATCAAAAGTTTTCCATTTTATATTTTTGATGCACATTGAGAGGTGCAAAAAATTTGCGTCTACGATAACAAAAAAAAAGAACTTAGAAAAATCAGCTTCTAGGTATTTTCGAAATCGACCAGCCTTGATTAAGTTTAACTTTTTCAATTTGTCCTTTGATTTCACTATTATTTGTTTATGGTCTGCTAGACAAAATTTGAGTTTTAGATTAGCTAAAAAAGAAAATCTTGACATTCTATTTCATTTGATTTTTTAAATCTTATCTTATCGGTTGCCATTTAGCTCTATCTCTAAATTATTTTTGTGCTAAATCGCACTGCGTTTCCAAAACCTTCCCAAAATAATAAAGCGGGTACAAAATTGTTTGTTTGTTCCAACCAAAAGTGATTTTATGTCAATTTTTGGCAGTCGTGTTGATAATGAAGTTTCCAAAATCTTTCTGTTCAAGATTTGAGTTTTGAGCTTATTTGAGCTAGTAAAAATGAAATTACCAGTGTAGACTTGTGACAGAGCACAAACAGAATAGAAAAGTGTTTTATATTAGCGTTCGAGTTCTACAACAGCCCTGATTGACTTGAATAGACCCAAAATGCTTATCATACCATAAACAAAGTCTATGAAAAACAGCAGGTCAAAAAATTTCGTACAATTTTGCTAAAATGGTATAACCGAAAATTGAAAAAAAATCTCTTTTTTAGTTTTGACTTAAAATTCGGTGTTCCGCCATAAATAGAAACTGAATGACTACCATTTATTTGATAACGACACGAAAATGTTCATAAAGTAGTTTCAACATTGCCACCCAACAAAAAATTCTAGCGCAAAATGATTTTTGTACTGAAATAAATATTTTCAAACAAATTTTTTCTAGCAAGCCGATTTTTTTTCAGGTGGATAAATAAGCTCCGGATCCACAAAAGCTGGAATATTTTTCCATTTCTCCAGTTTCTTTTTCAAAAACATTCAAAGCTTATTGTTTTTGTATTGCATACTTTTGAGTGCCTTGGGCAAAGCATGAGTATTTAAAACTTAAATTCAAAAAAACTTCATCAAAATTTAAGAAAATAAAGCATCAAAATTTAGTCAAAAAGCATCAAAATTTAGTAAATATAATACGTTTATTATATTGTTTCTCCAACGCATCGATAATCAAGTCCTTCCCTATGAGTTGTACTTGCAAAAAAAAACGTTATAGCTTTGTTGATTCTAGCTTTGAGTAACCAGGATCTTTGCCTCTTTTCACCAAATGTATTAAATTTTTCCAACGGGTGAAATTATATTAAAACTGCTCTTTTTCGTTTTTCACCCCATCTGTGAAATTTTATTAGTAAACTTACTGTTCAAATTGTCCGATTGTTTCGAAAACTGGCTTGCAAACTAATTAGCTTCTAACAGACATATTTGACATATTTGGTCTTCATACTAAACCTTGTAAAATCTCTTGCTAAACCATTAAATTGTTGCTAATGTGAAATGGGAGGAGGGGAAGGAAAAAAGCGGAAACAACAGAGTTGAGGAAAGTTGTCACAATGAAGAAGGCAATTTTTTCACTTCAAATTTTTCACAGTGCATGATCATCTTCTTTTACTCCGCTTAATCGAAAAAGTGTTCGGTCCAATTAAAAATCTATTACAATTGGTGAAAACTGGCGTTTTTAGACCAGAAAAAACTGTTAAGTGCTATAATTTAAAAGTTGAACCGTTCAGAGAGGGTAGTTCAGATCATTTGAAGTCGGTCGATCTATAAAAATTGACACAATTCTGGGTAAATAGTGTCCGACATTGCCCTTAAAACTAAATATTTCTGGGAGCAAAAACGTAAGTTTGCGTTTATTTTGTTAATTAGTGTAAGTAAGACATCGGCCAAGGCGTTCAACTAAAGTGTTCAACATTGCCGAATTTAAACAGTGCCGAATCTGAAAATATAATTAATACATAGAACCAAAAATTGATGACATTTGAAAAATATTAGTTCTGTGTGAGAACTGTTCGTAATTTTGCGTAAGTACTTTTTGTTTTGGAGCAAAACCACGAGGCAAAAATTGACCATTTGCTGAGTTAAATGTTTCTTTAGAAACATATGAATTAAATTACTTGTCAGTTATTTGGGATGATAAAACAAATTCAAAAAGAAATTGTTTTCGGCACTGCTGTAATTCGGCACTGTTGTACTGCCACAGTCTATTAAAGAAGAAAAAAAAACATTTCTAAAAGATTTTTTTTGATTTTGCACTCAAGTCAATCAAATTTTCGATGCTGCTCGTTTCTATCACTCTTGGAAGCCTGGAAGAAAAAAACAATAGCTGACAAAAATATTTTCCTCAGCCGAAAGCCGCAACAAAATCATTGCTTTTTATTAAAAAAACTGAAATTAGTCTACATTTGTTTAAATACGCAGTAACTCATTCCTAGCACTTAAGAAGAAAAGTTTTTAGTTTGAAAACTTCCCTTTTTAAAAAATACAATGAAAAATCAAAAAAGCATTGAGCCAAAATTGAGCAAAATGATGTGGGAAAATGATCAGCATGAGCAGCCGTTTCTTCTGTCCTCTGCCTCTGCCGTGGGCTTGCTGTCCAGTGTCACTGTGTCTTTATTAGGCGACATCTCTTTGTGCAGTTTATGATAAACTTTCTCGGCTGAAACATAACTGATGACATCATTTAAAGTTGGCAGAGGAAGCTTCAAAGGGAAAAATGACAAAAAAATTGACTATTTGACCACTCTCTGTACCATTTATGGCCTCAGTTTCCAGTGAACGTTTTTTCATCTCCTTTTTTAAAATTTCAGTTGTTAGAGCAACGGCACTGTTTCAAATTTTTTGGTAAACTGGCTTCGTAAAATGGAACACTTTATACACCAGAATCAAATGGTGTTATATAAAAAAAACTATAGAAATATTCAAAACTGGTCAGTCAATATCAGTCTAATGCTTGGTGATTTCGAATCAGATTAGAGAACTGACTTAGTGTCTGTACTGCGTCTTTGACATTCTGCCCTGATTTGGCAGAGGTCTCCAAATAGGCTATTCCCTCATTACTCGCCTGTCGCATTCCCTCCTAAAACACAGTTGGATCAAAACAAAGGGAAGCGAACAAAAGAGAACAAAAGAGAACAAAATAAATTAACTCCCACTTAAACTGACCAAGTGTAGCAGGGGTGTATTCATTGGGACGCTATCCCTACACTTAGTGACTCGACCTCTGACGATTCAAAGGGTTCCCCTTTGGTACAATTTCACAACATTCATTTTTGGTTGACCAACCCAAATTTTTTTCTGAAGGCGCCTTTGGCGTCCATATACTTAAAACGGCGCAAAAAAGTTTGACTAAATACGGCCATAGTGTTAGTAAGCCTCAAAAAATCAATTCGGTCAACCTTCGGTCTTTTAAAAATCAGAAAAAGGCAGACAGTTTTTATTTAAAAATATTCCCCCGTCCGTCAAAAAAGTCGTAGATCCCTGAAGTGTAGATTTTCTACCCGCCTACTCATGGGCGGATCTAGGGTTTTCTCGAGGGGGGAGGTGGATTTTCACAAAAAATTCGGAAATTTTGTCAACCTTTTTTTAGTGCGCACTCCCCCCTCAAAATTAGTTATATTGGCTCCAAAGGCGGCTTTAGAAAATTTTTAGGGTCAGTCAGCCAAAAAGGGCTATCTCAAAATAGTACAAAGAGGAGTCGAGTCCTTTAGAAAATTTTTAGGGTCAGTCAGCCAAAAAGGGCTATCTCAAAATAGTACAAAGAGGAGTCGAGTCCTTTAGAAAATTTTTAGGGTCAGTCAGCCAAAAAGGGCTATCTCAAAATAGTACAAAGAGGAGTCACAGGGAGTCGAGTCCTTGAGGAGAGAGGAGGCGCCCGCCCCCCCCCCCCCCCCCCCCCAAATCCGCTACTAATTTTAAGGCATTTGAGTTTGTGCGTTTTTTTCCTGAAATAATCAAATAATCTGCTGGGCATCAACAGGTTATCAAACTGGTTTCAGGCAGAAGAGAGTTATAATAATTATTCTTTTATCAGGAAATAAAATTCAGTGTAGAAAACAAGTTTATAAAGGTGACAAACTTTTTTGTAAAGTATCAGTGAACACAAAAATGCACCTGCATAGATACTGTTCGCATGTGTGCGAGGTCGCACTTGTTAGCAATCAGGAGCACCTCCGCATCCTCCGCCTGGTTCCTCAGCAGCTGCAGATACGACTGGGCAGACTCGAACGATTCCTACAGCACAAACAACGAAACTATATGACCTCACAAACTGTGGGAACTCCTCGTGTTTGAGATACCGAATGTCCGAAAATTTTCAGTCAATTAACGACCTTCAGACTGAACAAAAAATACTATTTTCTTGCACATTTCTTTTGAGAACTTGAGCACTAATTACTGAGGCTAACATGTAACTATCATTCATTCGGTTCCTTCGGCGTAAGGGGGGTTCCCTGTAACCTTGAATTATCATAGACAAAGAAAAATAGTTGATGCAATGCGTCAACCGATAAACCATTCTATTAAGAAAGACGCCCAATTAATTTCGCATGTAATTTGAACTTTTTTGTTATCAGTAGTTTTTGAAAAAGGGGAAAGATGTGCTTTGCCTGCAAAACAGATCAACCTTTGATTGGTATTCAGGTTTGATGTGCAATAATAGTGCATACCAATAACTAGTTCAGCTAATACAAGTCATACTGACCCTGTTAGTCATGTCGTACACGATCAGTGCCCCCTGACATGCCTTGTAGTACATGGGCAGTAAACTGCGGAATCTCTCCTGTCCCGCTGTGTCCCAAACCTTCAACTTCACCGACACATCCCCCACCTTAAGCTTCTGCAAGTGAAAGGTGGCTGAAAACATGCAAAACAAACACCAAATTAGACCAAAAAGACATTAAACGAAGTAACAGCCGTTTACATTTGCGAACCTTTTGCTTACAATTTGCGGAATCCAGATCAACTGTCCATAATTGTGCCTACAAAATTTAAGTTACAAGGTATTTGTGCGCGCGGATCTGCCTAGATTCTTAAGTGGATTTCACTTTCAGTTTGGAGCATTTTAGAGACTTGTCCATTGAATCGTGATGGCAAGTTTTTGAAAATGGGAGAGCTGTTGGCGAGTTTTTGAGTTGGCTCTAACAAGAGTCAAAACGATAAAGTAAAAAAAAATAAACAAAATGTTCTGCAAAATTGATCCTCGAGTTTAAAGGTGCGCCATCATTCAAATTTTAAAAATTGGCAAAGAGTTCTCAAAAAATCTTGAAATCTTTGCAAAAAAAAAAGAAAAGTTTTCCAAAGCGTTGCAAATGTAGTCATAATCAAAACAAACCCCATTCGTTTTCTTAATATTTGTTTTTTTATTAGGAACTAGCCACTAAAAACCATATATCAGAATAAAATGTCACGCAGCAAAAACAAAAAACATATAAGAAGCTAAAAGGTTACCTAATACATGAACACTTTCAATTGCGGCTTAGTTTAGAAAGAAGCGGATACCGTAATATGACACTACGCTTCGCTTGTATAAGCAATTTTGAACCAGGTTTAAACTAGTATTTATAAACCAATTATATTATTGATAGATTATCACTATAAAATATTAATAACTAACCAATCATATTCCATCTCTAACATTGACACTTATTTGCATGCGCTGAAACTACTTGTAGCTTCAGCACCAGAACAATTAAAATAAAATATTGGATACAGTTGTTCTCCTTCTGGATAAACTCCAAGAACTAACTCGCATAAACTAGTATACACTAGATCTATTGAGACTAGGAGATGTAAGAGTAAGATTAAGTTCAGTATTAGACTAAAAAGTTGCACGAATCTATCCGTCCGAAAATAAGATAGCGTGACAAGCAGACGGTGTACCTTATCTGAAATTACTCTATGAGTATAACCAATAGGTCATAACTCATCTGGTGCGACCAGTTAGGCTTGTTGTTATTTGTTAATTATCAGCCAAGGGGAACAATTTTACATCTGTTGACCATTCATTGTATTTTCAATCGTTTTCATTTATGATACATCTGAGGTACTCTTGTAGTGAACGGTTCATTCCTTCGACTAAACCATTAGTCCAGGGGGGCATGAGACGTTCGTGGTTTGTGTTTAGTTTTGTATAGATGGCATAATGTAATGATTTTAATATTTAAGAATTCAGTGCCATTATCGGTGACAAGGATTTCTGGTAATCCAAACTTTGCTATCCAGTGTTCATAAAGAAGTGTTGTATATGCATCACAGGCATTACAATGAGGTACTGGGTTGAGTGCTACATAGTAAATTCGTCAATTATAACCACTATATATGAGTTTCCTTCTGAAGAGGGTGATTTTTGGTCCTTTTGTATCAAATGAGATTCTGTGGTTAAACTTGTAAATTTTGTCCTTTAAAATCTTGTTTTTCTGCTATTTGTTTCTGATGTGGGTATGGTTTATTTAACTGGCATGTTATGCAATAGGAATGTGAAGAGTGAAATGCTAGGAGTATCATAATTAGTGCTAAAAAGGGCACTTTTAATTCAGGTGTTTGTTATTGTAAAATATTTGTATTCCGTTTATAGGTGTATTATTAAATTTTCTGAAATATCTAAGAAGTGTTTTGTTTCCTAGAATTGTGATATCTGCTTTTATTGGTTTTGTTTTATAATTATGCCAAGACTTTAGTTGTTTAATGACTGGGTCAAGGTTTTGGTATTTTTGTAGTAGTTCAAGTGTAAATTTTTCTGTGGCTATTGGAAAGATATTTTCAATTTCTAATTTTGAAAGAGGTATGTTATCTAGAGGGTCATGTAGGTTAAAAACTTGATTTATTGTGTATTTTGAATCGATATTTGGAAGTCCTGATAAATTTATATTATCAGTTAGATTTTTTTTTTCTATAAAAAGTAATAGGTCTGTCCTATATACTTTTTGTCTAAGTGGTTTTTGTTAATTTCTCTACATTCAGCAATGCTATTTCCATATCTACGGCAATAGTTACACCATTTTTTGATTGATGGTTTGCCTTTAAAATTTGAAATTTTCCTGTAGATATTTAAAATTTGAGTGAATTTTTCAACTAGTTCAATGTCAGAGTCATGAATGATATTTATTTGTGAAGTAGTTGTATGGATGTTGTTTACGTATTGTAATTTTGAATTTTCTGTTTCTTCCAGTCTCATAGTGATTTCAGCTTGTTCTAGTTGATCTACAACTTTTCTGAAGTCTATATCGGGTTCTCGAATTGAAAAAGGATGCGATGCTTTCTTTTTATCGCTATTTTCCGTAATTGTGGTGCAGTAGGTATAACCAATAGGTCATAACTCAAATTATTTTAAACCCCCAGGATATATCATTTTCTCAAAAACCACAGTTTGCATTCTTTTTTGGGAAAATAGAATAAAATGAAAATTTCAAAAAATATTTTCTTGATTTGCTACCAGAATTGCTTATTTGGCTACCAGATTTTGCGTATAGTTATTTGAACAGGTATAGGCATAGAATTTTTTCTAGTTATATCGAAATTTATTGAAAACGATAACTTTTTGTTTTGCAGTAAAAAATATTAAGAAATCATTGTTCAAATCGGGAAACCAAAAATTGAGTTGAGTTTTTCTTGTAAGTTTTTGTCTTAAAACTGTTGAAAACTACAAATTTTTGAGGTAGATTACGTTTTTAGGAGATGAAAACAGTCTTTGCTACAAGTTTCGGTGCCAAAGTGTCATTTTTATGATAAAACATTATCTTCAAAATTATGACTTTTGTAAGCACTCTTCTTTTTTTTACTTTAACCAAATCAATTTTCTAACGTACTTAACGCTGTTTTAGCGGTTTTATCAAAATATCAGTTTGGTCTGTCCTGTATACTTTTTGTCTAAGTGGTTTTTGTTAATTTCTCTACTTTCAGCAATGCTATTTCCATATCTACGGCAATAGTTACACCATTTTTTGATTGATGGTTTGCCTTTAAAATTTGAAATTTTTCCTGTAGATAATTAAAATTTGAGTGAATTTTTCAACTAGTTCAGTGTCAGAGTCATGAATGATATTTTTTGTGAAGTAGTTGTATGGATGTTGTTTACGTATTGTAATTTAGAATTTTCTGTTTCTTCCAGTCTCATAGTGATTTCAGCTTGTTCTAGTTGATCTACAACTTTTCTGAAGTCTATATCGGGTTCTCGAATTGAAAATGGATGCGATGCTCTCTTTTTAGTGCTACTTTCCGTAATTGTGGTGCAGTAGGTATAACCAATAGGTCATAACTCAAACTATTTTAAACCCCCAGGATATATCATCTTCTCAAAAACAACAGTTTGCATTCTTTTTTGGGAAAATAGAATAAAATGAAATTTTCAAAAAATATTTTCTTGATTTGCTACCAGAATTGCTTATTTTGCTACCAGATTTTGCGTATAGTTATTTGAACAGGTATAGGCATAGAATTTATTCTAGTTATATCGAAACTTATTGAAAACAATAACTTTTTGTTTTCCAGTGAAAAATATTAAGAAATCATTGTTCAAATCGGGAAACCAAAAATTGAGTTGAGTTTTTCTTGTAAGTTTTTGTCTTAAAATTGTTAAAAACTACAAATTTTTGAGGTAGATTACGTTTTTAGGAGATGAAAACAGTCTTTGTTACAAGTTTCGGTGTCAAAGTGTCATTTTTATGATAAAACATTATCTTCAAAGTTATGACTTTTGTAAGCACTCTTCTTTTTTTTTTAAGTTTAACCAAATCAATTTTCTAACGTACTTAACGCTGTTTTAGCGGTTTTATCAAAATATCAGTTTGGTCTGTCCTATATACTTTTTGTCTAAGTGGTTTTTGTTAATTTCTCTACATTCAGCAATGCTATTTCCATATCTACGGCAATAGTTACACCATTTTTTGATTGATGGTTTGCCTTTAAAAATTGAAATTTTCCTGTAGATATTTAAAATTTGAGTGAATTTTTCAACTAGTTCAGTGTCAGAGTCATGAATGATATTTTTTTGTGAAGTAGTTGTATGGATGTTGTTTACGTATTGTAATTTTGAATTTTCTGTTTCTTCCAGTCTCATAGTGATTTCAGCTTGTTCTAGTTGATCTACAACTTTTCTGAAGTCTATATCGGGTTCTCGAATTGAAAATGGATGCGATGCTCTCTTTTTATCGCTATTTTCCGTAATTGTGGTGCAGTAGGTATAACCAATAGGTCATAACTCAAATTATTTTAAACCCCCAGGATATATCATCTTCTCAAAAACAACAGTTTGCATTCTTTTTTGGGAAAATAGAATAAAATGAAATTTTCAAAAAATATTTTCTTGATTTGCTACCAGAATTGCTTATTTTGCTACCAGATTTTGCGTATAGTTATTTGAACAGGTATAGGCATAGAATTTATTCTAGTTATATCGAAACTTATTGAAAACAATAACTTTTTGTTTTCCAGTGAAAAATATTAAGAAATCATTGTTCAAATCGGGAAACCAAAAATTGAGTTGAGTTTTTCTTGTAAGTTTTTGTCTTAAAATTGTTAAAAACTACAAATTTTTGAGGTAGATTACGTTTTTAGGAGATGAAAACAGTCTTTGTTACAAGTTTCGGTGTCAAAGTGTCATTTTTATGATAAAACATTATCTTCAAAGTTATGACTTTTGTAAGCACTCTTCTTTTTTTTTTAAGTTTAACCAAATCAATTTTCTAACGTACTTAACGCTGTTTTAGCGGTTTTATCAAAATATCAGTTTGGTCTGTCCTATATACTTTTTGTCTAAGTGGTTTTTGTTAATTTCTCTACATTCAGCAATGCTATTTCCATATCTACGGCAATAGTTACACCATTTTTTGATTGATGGTTTGCCTTTAAAATTTGAA